TTGAGATATCGTAACTTGTGAGCTTGGATACCAAACTTTATAATTTGGTTAGTAAAAAAAGATGGCTATTAACTCAAAGATTAAATTTGAGCCCTGCAAAATTGAAGTTATTCTCCTCTTTAGCTGTTACACATTTTCTAGCGAATTAGTCATGAGAATTTGGTGTTAGATCAAGACAACCTTTCCCTCAATAGTTTGAGTATTTTAATTGCCTGTTTGGTGGTTCATGTGTTAATTTTTTGAGAGTTAATGCCATTATTTTCTCTTCAGTCAATGGAAAATCAATGTAAAATGTTATTGATTATTAAATAAATACTAATTTTAGGCCTGTATTCTGGTGTTTGATGTTACAAACAAGCTGTCTTTTGACTCTCTGGACTATTGGCTACAAGAGTTTACCAGTAATGGAGGCAAACAAGCAATAGTAGCTGTGGTGGCTAACAAGGTAAACCACACACATTTATTATTCATTTATTTATTTGCCTTAATATTGTAATATTACACATTTACAAAATTGTAAATTTCGTCTCCGTCACTCATGGGAGTTAACCCATTGACCCCTAAGAGTAACTAGTGTCTAATTTCTCTGAACAACATCTCCCCCGAAAAACACATCAAGGTCATAAGAATAATCACCAACTGAAGTAGCTCTTGATTGTTAAACAAATTTTCTTTGCAAGCACCTTAGAAAATGTACAGAGAGTATGCAAACTGATCTAAGGATGCAAAGGGTTGTCTTAGCAGTGTTCTCATCAGTAAAACAGATGTTTGTACTCTATCACAGACTGATCTTTCCTCTAAAAGAGTTGTAAGTAGCAAAGATGGGCAGAGATGGGCCAAGTCACGTGACTTAAGGTTTGTATATATCTTGACTCATATTTGATTTTGTTTTTTTATTTATGCTATTTCATAAAGGCCATTAAAAAACAGTTGGAAAAGAGGTTCACTAACCAGACTAAACTTAATTTCTTATTCAAAAGGAAAAGGTGGAAGCTGACAGTAAAAGCATTTTTACACTTTTACTCTGTTAATATGATGAATATAGGCAAAACGCAGTGTTATTTTATTTTTAAGTAATTATGATCAAAGCAATTGAAGCTTCAAGTCTCAACCAGAAATCCTAAAGTTTACAAAATCAGTTGTAGGTGTGTTTAAAAACATTTTTTTTCAAGTTACAAAACTTTTTTTTCACTTCATGGTAAGTTCATCTTGTGGCCATCATCAAGACCATATTATCCTTTAAGGGATAACTTTCTAATGAATCTGTGGTGCTGCATTGATGAGTAACATTACAACTGAAGATAATTCTGTTTGATCAGTTGAATTGACCACCACAGAGAGGTTTTTAAGCTGAATTTTCAAGTGCCAACCCTTATCTATATCTCTCTAAGGTGGCCAATTTATTTTGAATTATCAACTCAGCTGATGAAACCAAACTGTATTGTACTATACCTAGTTGATGAACTCAAAGTTTGTAAGTCCTAATTTTTCTGGTTGGAACCCTATTTTCAGGTATTATGAAACATCTGCAGCCACAGGTCAGGGTGTTCAGGACATGTTTAGTGGGGTGTTAACAGCAGTGGCAGAGGGGAAGCTAGTGAAGGCCAAGCCAGTTGTCAGTGCTGAGCAAAGTTCCAGTAAACATAAATAAAAAAAAATCAATAAGAACCAGTTCTGTAAATAACATATTTCAGGGCTCGACACTAACAGTGGCCTACTAGCCACAGACTAGTAGAAATTCAGTTCTGGCTAGTCAAGTGGTTTTCGATTTCCACTCGCCAGTTTGGCTAGTAAACAAAGTGAAATTGTCGCAACATCTAAGATGCCACTAGCCACTTGGCTAGTGAGTTGAAAAGTTAGCGTCTAGCCCTGTATTTATTTAACACTAACAAGTACTACATCTCTTTTTATTATCACTAGAACCTGGTCCAAAGTGACAACAAAACCCTTGAATAAAATCTACTCGCCTCGTTGGCTATAATCATCTCATATCCAACAAGCGAGAGTGGAATAATTGTTTTATTAAAAAATGCCCCTAAGATATTAGACAAATCTTCTTGACTTTATTTTGTGAGAAGAAATCTTATTTAACAATGTACAGAAATTAGATTATGGTATATTGGCTCATATACCATAATGGCTGAGCCAATAAAAAGTCTTGAATTGCATTATCCAATGATCTAGTTTTTAATAATGTGTATTAGCCACCATAAAGAGTTTCAGAGTTGATGTTTGAGTCTTAGCTCTTCATCAGAGCGAATGACAAAGGGCTCACTAGAAACTTGCCCCCTTTATACTTGTAGTTCTTGTTTTCCTTCATGTTCAACAGATAAACTATTATCAAAAAGTAGAGGACTGACATGCTACAGTTTCTTTGATATCTATACAGAGGTATCAGTCTGTGCATGGGCTAAAAGTACTATTACTTACAAACTATGATTTACAATAAGACATGTACAATTAAATTTAAATGGGTACTGTGTCTGTGTCTGTGTCTGTCTGATGGACCCCTCCCCCCCTTCTTTAATGAGAAATCAAAGTGATGAAGATGATGAATCATTCTAGCCTCCCATCAATAATTTCATATGATTTTCTATGGTAAACAACATTTCACAAGTCCATCCACCAATATCCAGCAGAACAAGAGCAACTTGTGGTTTCATAATAAAAGTTATTTTAGAAATAAATTTACTTGACCACCTCTTTCACATCTATGAAGATGAAGATTGTCCATTGCTATCTTGTCTGTGTTTCCTTTTTCTCTTTTTAGTCCTGGGTTCATCTGTATCACTCTCAGTTCGCTTTCTTTTTTTTCTGCTCTTTTTACTCTTTTTTCTTTGCTACACAGTTTTTATGGGTAAAAAGACAAAAAATTTGTTTTAATTAAATGAAAATACTACTTCACTTGGGATTTAGAAACTTGGAATAACTAAAGGTACTTGTAATTAGAATTCTCTAGAAAGACTACAGGTTATTAAAGCAACTGTCAAACCTGTATAAAGAGGCACCATATTTAGTCATCACCCTGTATTAAAAGTTGTTTGCCATTCCTTGCGGATGAGTGCTTAAACAGGTTGAACTGCAATTTGTGCCAGTCATCCTTATCAGAAATGATTAAAATTTAACTTATTCCTATTATATCCATACTTTATACAGCAAATAGATTATGAGAATACTCAAACTTATCAGTTTAGAAGTTGTTATCTTGATTGAACACCAAATTCTCATCACTAATTTGAAACAAAACACATAGCAGCTAGAGGGGAGAATTTAAATCAGCCCTTGGGAGCTTACAAGTTTAAAATTACCACAATTAATCATCTGTGATTATGCCTCTTAAATCTTTCTTTACCATAATTTTTCATTTTGATTTGATGAACTTGGAGAAATGTTAAGTTCTAAAAGTTGAACTAGCAGAGCGGTCTTTCTCTGACAAACTCTCTCTCTTTCCCAAAATGTACTGGCTACCATCACTTTACATACAGACCTTGTATTCCTTCTCTGATTCGCTGTTATCTGAAGTTGACATTGATGAAGAAGATGAAGAAGGATACTTAAACCAAAGCAAGAAAAGAAGCTTTCTTTAGTTGAGAGGATATATATTTTCCATAGGTAATTTTTCTCATTAAGTGTCAGGTCAAAAATAAGGTCTTCCTGTTTCCCTCAAACAATACTTGGGTCAATTTTTGGTGAGTACCTGGTAGGTACCACTGGACTCTAAGAACCCCTACTTCATTATTACAAGGCTGTACTCTAAGAACTGAAGGGAGCTCAGCACTCTGAAACATTGAAATACAGAGTGCCCAGCATATGTGTTTATATGAAAAAACTAAAATTCCCAAGTTGCTCAAGAGCAAAAGTAAGGTGCCAGGGGCCACTGGGTGCTGCTTGACCACAGTCCTGTATTACCTCTTATGTGGCCTATTATAGATCCTATCTTGTCACTTTTGGGAATATGGTAACAACTCTTTAACATGCAAATCTTCTCATTTTTAAATCACTACTAGCCAGAATTTCCCCAAGTGCTCCAAAATCTAAAAAATGTGCTACTCTTAGTAAATAGTAACTCTTACTATTAAAAATGGAACTCCATCATACTCAGTCCAGTCATGAATATGCATCCCCACTGGCCTATCACTAGGGATAACCCCGTTCCACCTCTCCCAAAATCATTAGGTCACCTCCTTTGACTGGCAAACCTCCAATTTAGTTTGGATATATCAACAAAGTTGAAATGGTAAATTGGCCACCGTAACGATTACAAAAGCTGACGTTTCGAGCGTTAGCCCTTCGTCATTCACTCCGACAAAGGAATAACGCTCGAAACATCAGCTTCTGTAATCATTACGGTGGCCAATTTACCATTTCAACTTTGTTGATATATCCAAATTATTTCGTTACTCCCACTGACGCAGCCCCAAACGGTTTCTTTCAAAACTATCAGCCTTTCTCCAATTTAGTTGACAAGAGGAAGGAAAAAAGTACTGGTACTTTGAGTAGTTTATGGGCCGGGCAATTAACCAGTTGAAAGTAACTGCTCTAACTCAATCCTCTTACAGCACAAATTGAGAGTTGACTAAACATTCTAACTACAGACTATCAGAAACAATAGCTCACCCTCTTTTTGCTTTTACTTGACTTTTTTTTCTGAAATTATAGTGACAGAACATTTACAGATTAAAAATATATGCTTGTGAACACACTACAGTGAACTTACACTTATAAGCCTGGGCTTATACTAGTTTGTAAGGGATTTTAGGTAGGGTTTTATTATGAGCCTCTGTCCCAGGGATAGAATACAGGTAGTTGGGCTTATATAATAAAGGGGAGGGGAGGGGGCTCTAAGCAGAAGTTAATGGTTGGTTTAGACATAATTTTATAATAAAAGCTATACCATCCTACTGTACAGTTTATTTACATAGGGTTAACCTCTTAAACTTCCTTTTTAGGGTATCATTTATGTTATTCTTTGATACCTTAAATAAAGTATGTATGTATGTATGTAGTGGGTAAAACATTTAAATCTTCAGAATGCTTAACATTGTGTACACACCTCTTTTCTTCTAGTCTTAGAAGAACCTTCTGAACTACCTAGCAGCTTTTCTCTGTTTTTCTTCAGTTCATTTCGAAATTTCTGAGAATCAGTAATAAACAAGAATTTTAATAAACTCGAAAAATTTATTACCGGTTTATTGAAAATGAGCTAAGGCATAGTTAAGCTAACAATTTTCTTTGATAAGAATTTTATGTTTTAAGATGTCACACCTGGTTTAAATGTTCCTCGTAGGCTGCTAGAGTCTCTGAACCTGTCTTCTTTTTGTTTATCATTTCTTTAACCTCTTCCCTACAGTTTATCAAAGTTACACATTAACAATAAAAAATGTTGTTCAGGACAAAACTGTCATAATTAGAAATTAAATGAGTTTGCATTCATAATGAGTGGTTCTGTAATACAGGAAAATTACAAAAGGCCAAAGGCCATGTAAACTCCACGTTTTAATGTTTCCTTCGCTTCAGTTTCACAGCGTCGTATGGATTACAGCCTCTACCTACATCGCTTTGAAATTCTCTGAAAATTTACGAAAAAACCTTCGCGAACTTTGCAAACTAACTTAGATACTCACACAAGACAGCAGAGTTCAAAAGTACTTATTCAAAAAAAAAAAACAAAAAAAGATCACGTGTACATGAACTTGTTGCATCGCTGGAATTCACATGCTGTTAAGCATTCTGAAAATATTTTTGGTAGGCATGCATACAAAATAAGACAACAGGCCACATCAAGCAAAAGCAGCGATGAGTTTATTGTAATACATGTGGACCTCAATTATCCTGATTTTTTCGTTCTGTGCATTTTTTTCAATTATCCTTTCTTGCTTGTCTGTCCTACTTTTTTATGAACATTAATCAACACATTCAAGATTCACAACAACCATGTTCCACCTAACAAAGCACATGTAATGAAACTCCTAAGGAAGCTGAATTTGTTCAACTTCTTTGGTTAAAAAAAGGACATCTAAATTTCAGCTTGCCCTTCCAAAGCTGAATTCTTTGTATTACATGTCTTGAGCAAAAAAGTTTCTAGTCAGAATTGAAATCCTCTTGCCTTAGATGGCTACACAGAATTATTTTGTCCCTACAAAGCTTTCCCCGTATGATGTAGAAATTTACTAATCTTGCCATGCATGTTTCCAATGAGATACTGTTCGTTGTTTCTCCTTTAAATTTTTCCTTTAATTTGTTACCTTAATGAAGCAATTTAATTTTTAAATAAAGGAAATAACAAAACCAATTGCATGAAAGCTAATAGAACATACGCAAGTAAAATTATGCCACTCTAACAGCCTCCTTTTGGAAGAAGTAAGAGAGGTTGAAGATGAGAAGAGTAAGCGGAGGTCCACATGGTAGACTGTAGATGTACAGTAATGGAGATATGGCAGCAAAAGGAAGTTGTATAAAGAGTTTAAAAAGAACTTTCAAGATACAATAATAATGCTTTTGGCGGATAATTATATCTAAGAATTTAGTGTTCAACTCTAGTAATGCTCTGCCAATCAATACCTAAATTTGGCTTACTCCCATCTAGTTATTGCTGAAACAGTAAGCTCAGAGATGTTTTTTATTAAAGTTGTCTAAATCCACAACATTTCACTTACAGTGTTGGTCGATTTCTGTTCAGGTAATCTCTCGCTGTTGGTCCAGAAGACGCTGGCCCTCTTGCTCGCGCCATAGCAATAGGATTCATACATGCCTGGTAAGGTAATAAATATCATTAATTAAATACTTTTTAAAATAAAATTGGTTTGAATTACTGAAAACATGTTTTTGAAATTATTGATAAATATTCTTGAAAATATAGAGGGTAAGAGTAAAGATAGTAAGCCTGTTTTGGTTCAACTTATGGTTAGGTCTGAGAGATGTGAGGTCTAGAGTTCAAGAAATTGAGATTCTACTTCAATTAATTCAAACTTTTGACTTGGTTTGCCCTTGAATAACGTTAAAATATTCACCTAAAGAGATTTTCTAGTTAAGTCTGATTAAGCAGTATAACTCATTTTTCTGGGCTTTATAATGTGATAAAGCCATGCAGGATTTTGGGAGAGATCAAGGATTTAAGCTTTTGTTCTCCCAAAATTCCAAGTGGCTTTATCAACTTTTTAAGGAGACATGCTATTCACCAGACCAGGTACTCTGCTTTTACTTCTATCTTTTAACATGACAAATTATTAATCTGTAATATAAAGCAATCAAATTTACATTTCAATCCCATAATTTCTTGCTACCTGAATTGTAATTAAATATGATAGTAATAGAAGTTCAGAAACACAATGATCCTCTAGTACCAACTGTGTTCATGGTGGTATCAGTCTACCGTCTACATTTTCCTACTTTAACAGTTCCACTGACATCATAGCTTAAACTTAATATTCGATTTACTCGATAGAATGAGCTTCATTTTTTGTATTTACCTCGAAGAAGTCTGTTTAATTTGTTGTTTAAAAGTTCACAAATTACATATAATTTACTGTATAGTTTCGAGAAAATGCATGGCGCAAATTTCAATTAAATTTGACAACAAAACGATTTAAAAGATAGGCAACAGTCCTGATCCAAAACGGAAGTGACAGAACCCAGTCAAACGGACATGGCTGCCTCAGTAGTCAACGAATATCTACATCTTTACGAATATCAAAAAAATTGTATCTCGCCAGCTGGCGGACAGACACAAACATGCTCCACAGAACAGGAAGTTAACTTCCATGTCTTCCACCTCTCAAATTAACAAACTCAACCTTACCACTCTTTTGTCTCTTTTTCCCATTTCGTTTTAACAACAAGGAAGCAAGACCATTAGAACGCTGCAGACGAGATTTTCGGGTTAGATTCGTTGTAGACTACATAAAAAAAGTGCAGCCAAGAAATAGACACCGCTGGAAGTATAACAGCAAACTCTTGCTTCCAGTCTCTCTCCATCTTTGCTTGTACACCATAGTCATCCATTGTAACAGATAATTAATATTTAACACTCTATTGATCATCAAGTGTTTTTCAAAACTTCCCTTTTCACTTCTGACACCAACCTACCGTCAAAACTTCGTATTTGTTTTTATCAAACATACTGACGGAAGCAGAAAAAATAGATAAAAGGTGAAGTACATCCAAACCTATCATGAATATATATCTACGTTTTTCCTCCAAACATTCAGAGAGATAAATTCAGAGAGATAAGTACAAGAACAGACGTATGCTTTTTCATCTCTGAACTGTGTATTGATATTCAATATTTCTTAACAGCTTCGTTCTGCGACGGGACATTCCGATCGAATGAGTCCCATGTCCATGTCCGGCTGACAAATCTTTTGTAAAAAAAAAAACCTTCTGTTTAATCAAGAAAGAAAGAAAGAAAGAAAGAAAGAAAGAAAGAAAGAAAGAAAGAACTCAGTTTCTAAGAAAGGAAAGGAAAGGAAACTCTTTATTCGCACTTTTCCAAGAGGTTACTACAGATTATAAAAGTCAGAATATATAAAAAACAGTAACTTACATCAATAATCAAAAGTAAAATGTGCACAGTGACCAAAGTAGCATAGCTTTCGAGCCAAAAATTATTACACTGACCCTACTGCTATTAAATTCGACCCCCGTGGATTTGACTTAATGCAGAACAGTGGCTATGGCTATGTTTACAAGTGTTTGAATATAAAAATATCGAAATATCCATAGGTTATAACGACAAATCTGTGATTTGTGAAATCTGTAGAAAAGGTTAATGAGGCAGTTACATTAAGGATCGTATCCTTCCTCCTTTTATTGGATTTATACTTGGCGTTCTTAAAAATTTCTAATTTTTTTTTCTTTTTTATTACATCTTCCTTTGTTTTGATCCTAGCTTTGTTTCAATATAAAGAGTGGTTCGTTCCTTCGCGTTAAACCTCTCAAGTGTAGTAATTACATGCGTAGTAAAGTCATTAAAAATTGAATGTTATTTAGTATGAAACGTCCAATCAAAGCAATGTCGAAGTCAATCCGAGGCTAAGTCTTTGTTTGTGCTATGACATCGCCTACTGACAATACTTTTCTGTGACAGAAATTGGATTCATTCGTAACCAGTGAGCAGAAGGTCTTGAAAGTCAACGTAAACCATGCTATCTGAAAATGGCCTTGAATTCCAAGAGAGGATAAGCCGACGCGTCGAATTTAAGTCAAGCTACAGTATTGAAAGTTTAACATCAGGAAGTAGCGATGGAGAATTCTATTCACCGCGTTTGTCTCATGTAAGGAGTAGTGAAAGTCTATTACAAAGAACAAAATCCTTTAATCAGATCATCCACGAAATGGGCTTAAGCACAAAGAAGTTAGAGCAAGAAATGTCTGGACTTCTACGCGATATGGTAAGCTTCTATTTCAATAAAAAGCTTTATAGTACAAAAACATTGCGCTTTGTCTTTGATAATCACTTTATTTAGAGGCGAATCTCGCGAAAAATTAAAATCAGTAACCATTTTTCTTTTACACAACTATTTCCTGATTGATATTGACTGGCTAGTTATAAAGCTTCTCCGACCGAAAATGTGTTGAGGAGGTATTATACAAGGGACGCTTTGCGTAACACTGGTGACAAGAAGTATTTCGTCTGACAAAACCCCTCGTGTTTAATTATTACAGCACCCATTGTATTTTCATCGACAACGCTAACTAATCTATTTTTCTAACAATTAAGAGTCGTATGGAGGTTCACAAAATAATCATGCAGATATATTCAGTAGAAGTAACTTCAATTTTTTTCAATCAGTCCGGAATCAAAATCAAAATCACTAGATTAGTATTCTTGTCAGAATTAACGTTTAATTTCCACCTGCTTATCACTTGCAGCTCCAGGAAATTTACTGTTTAACTCTACAGTTTGCGAACACTAAGATATGATTAATTGTGTTGAACTCAGCGAACTTTTATATCTCCAATCGTGGTTGGTAAGTGACGAGGGGATTTTACCGCTTAATAATATTTAGGTTATTACAAAAAGCCGTTCGGTTCGATTGTTAATATTTTAGCTTGTTAATATTTTGGTTTCGTCTGCAAACGTTTTTCAACTCTTGACAAATTTTCACTTTGCTCATTGCAGTGTATAATAAAACAATAGAGTTTATGTTCTCGGGTATGAATGTGTTTTGGGCCAGATTCAGCATCATTTCAGCCCGAACCGCTAGGCGAGGGTTAAAATAAATCCAAGCCTCATGAACATTAACTGTGTGGCAATTTTCATCACTTTGAAGAGCATCGAGAAAGCAAAAACTGAAAAAAAAAGTTAAATAAATAAATAGTCTGAACAATCATGCAATCGTGCAAGCAGGCCAAAATACATTCAATGGCACGCAAAAATCTCCATTTTAGGCAGCAAAATGCGCCCCAATGCTCAGTTAACAGTAATGGAAAAGAGAGTAAATGACTTTCAAAATCTTCGAATTTCTGAAGAACATTTTCCCTTGGTGATGATATTTCGCTCATGATTGGTATCTGACAGAAATCATTGAGGACCAAGAAGTATATTAACCACAAATTGTGATTGGTTTCTGTTTAGTTCCAGTAAAAGGTGGCATATCAGGTGTTCTAAATCTTTCATTTGGTTTTTGTCACAGGATACCCTTCGTAATCAAAACCTCAGTACCGGCCGGCGGCTTCAACGTCTACAAAGAGTGTCAGGGGCAATGAAAGAACAACTTCAGGCCTTCAGTTCCATGCGGTCAGCTGCCAGTCATCGCTATCTTGACCACATAAACATCACGATCATGAATGAAAACAGAAATTATTTCTCAACAGAAAATCTTCCCAAAGAAACAACTTAAGTCAGAATTAGAGGAGATTGGCTATTGTAAACTTCGATTTTACGGATTAGCTACCTTTGTTTTGTCACTGATGAGAAGAACCAGTGACAAAGACCGGGATTCCATTACAAACACTAGACTACTTTCATGTCCATCCTTGAGGTAAATTCTATCCGAGAGAGGAGTCACAGTTTTATCAAATTTTGATAGAAGTAAACGAGGGGACATCCCATGGTTTTCTCTGTGTAGTCTGAGTAGTTATTAAATCGGTCAAGAATTTATCTGCCTGTAATTGCTTAACTGGAGTATTTACGTATCAAAGTTAAATGTAACCACTGTCTTGGTTAACGTTGGAAGGACCACTCGCATTCAAAGGGCCGGGTGGCATCTAGGACAATTTTTTCCCATAGCGGTTGTAATCGCATGTTATGTGGGACACACCACTGACCAAGGAGTTTGGAGACTCGAGCACCCTTTACGTGATAGAAAGTGTAATGTTTACCAACCATAACTAAACTACACGCTTAGGGTCAAAACACCGTGACCAGTGGCACTTGAGATGTGACGTAAGCACTTAAATGGGTTACGCGCGTCAAAGCCTCATTTCCCGATTTTTCATTAAAATATTCTTATAATTCGCTGACACACTCTAGCAAGAGGGAACATATATTACGCTTTCTAGAACTTCCACTCCTTATCTAGCATACATACGAGACAAAAAGGTAATCAGCACATCGCCGGAGCCTTTGAATTATAGTAGGATACTAAGTAAAATCTCGTTGATATTGTTGGACAATACAAGCCGCTCTGTTCACCTGTTTTTAAAAGTTCGGCCATTATGCCTAATCAATATCATTAGTGACTGCCAAGTCATCAGTTCCAGTGAAATCTTTAAAGAATCGTTCATGCAGTAAGTGTCTCAGCCTTTGACTAGTTCACAGTCTTAGAAAGCTTGTTTGAAAGAAAAATTCATCGCAATATAAAGCTCTTTTCTGAAGATAATGAAACAAGTTCACTTTAGAAACTGTTGACCTTTGTTTGCTTAACACAAGTGGGTTAGGGTTGTCAAGTCTGTTTTGTCTTTCACCGACTCAGAAAAGTTTGCATTATCACCCCAAAAGATATCTCTTGAAGAAAAAAAAAAAACAGAGAAAGTTCAGCGGCCTGATGATTATATCTATTTCGACTTAAGAAAGTAAGCCGGAGATTCTTCGATTTAACTATAACTTTTCTCCTGCACAATATCCCTACATTGTCAAAAAGACCTATCGAAACTATTGAAATCGAAATTGATTACAAATCAAATATTTTAATCAAACGCGCTTGATATAGTCCAGAAAGAGAGAATCAAGTTTGATTCTTCAACGTTTACATTATTTTGTGCACGCTCGCAGTCAAAACAAACGCGTTTCATTTTTATGAATTGTACACACCCTTTTCCTTCCTGTCAAGAGTTTGATGGTGCGTCAAACCTTATAATTAGCATGTGAAACTGCTGCCAGGGCAATGATAATATAAGCTGAAGCAGTCTTTTCATGCTCACATGTATGTCATTAAGAGTTATTAATCACATGGTCTCGTGACACACAACTTGTCGATATATCGCCACAAGCTAGGCCGCAGATCACTCTTTGTCGCCGCAGATTTCTTGCGGATAAATTGGTGATGAAGGGTGAGATTTGTTTAACAAGTTCCTTAAAACAAATAAGTTTTGAATATTTCTGATTTGATCAACAGATAGCAGGAAAACTTCATTTTCCTATGGGGAAGAATTTTAACGCTAATCTCGCTTTTGTCTATTACAGAGTACAGTTTTGTCGAGTCAGATGATGACTCAGGTTTCAAAGATGATTCAAGCGTCGCATTCTCAGTGCAAAGCGATCGGTCAGAGCGTGTCACCACTTACAAAGTTAAATCTTGGAACTGCTTTGCCACGAAAAAACAAGAGGTTAAAGTGAAACAAGAACAGGAAGAAAATGGCACTCAATGTGACTATCCACGAAAACAAAACGTCTTTCAAAGAGCAACCAGGAAGATCTTTGGCAAGACCAAGCGACTGTTTAACAAGAAGCAACAGGAGAACAAAATTAGCAACACTGTGAAAACAGAAAAGAAACTGAAGGAAAATCACACAGAACAGGTGGCAATCATAATACCGTCAGACAGCTGTTGCAGTGTGAACGTGGATCCAGCGCCTAACCGTCAAAACAACAGCTTCTTTCGAGCAGAGAAGATGCGATGCTCGATTCGAGAATCCCGCGGCTTGAACCCGCGGGAAGCTCTGCGGCTTCGCGAGAGACAGACAATGCTTCGAGTTCTGTTTGATTTTCAAGCATGTGACGATGATGATATTTCCGTGAGTAGGGGAGAACTTGTTCAAGTACTCAACAAAGATGATAAGGATTGGTGGTGGGTTGAAAATGAACATCGAGAAAGAGGATTTGTGCCGCGAAACTTTCTTTGGCCCTGTGGCTGTTACGGTAAGACAACATATTTTGTACAGAACTAACATTTTTCGCCTTTTTGGAAACAGTTAACCAATTGCTATTTTTTCTTGTACCGTTTCTCGTATGTGTTGGCATGATTACAAAGATAACAATATAAAAAAGTCAATATATATCAGCGATGCCTAAAACCCACCCAAAAATGGGCTACAACAAGGGGTTCTCAATTCATGATGAAAGATTATGGGATACCTTTCTGTTTTTGTGAAAGCAACATGATTATTAAAATGCAGTCTTGTTTATGACTATTGCCACGCGCGAACTCACCGATACTTGTTTGCAAAAGGTAAGGGAAACTAGTTTCTCGTTCATTCAATAAAAGAGTAACCAAGGTTGAGAATTACTGTTTTAGAGAGAAACAAAAGAATTTGGTTCTGTTTATCTTGATTTTGTTATTGGTTCACTGAGGAATCTTTTATTGTAAAAGCTCAATTACCTGCGAAACACATTAGCCGGGTGACAAGCTTGAGATAGCAAACCAATTAAGATTGTTCAGTCCGATATCACTTCGGAATTGAACAAAGGAGAATAGAGATGAGTGGATGGAAATTGAATTCAAAATTTAACCAGAATTGTGGTAATTGTCACGTACTCTGTCAATTTTACTTAGAGAAATTGAAATGAAATTAAATGCCACTTTGTCACAGCGATACAAAAATATTAACACTGATTTCTTAACGACGATTATTTTTTACCTCCATACTATCTTATTCTCGCGTTCATTACTGTTTTAAGAGTTCTTTCCTAGTATTTATTCCTTACGATACCGGCATATTTATATTGAGAGGTATAAGTATTATCGCATCATAAAATACCGTCATGAACCTTGCATTTGGCGCACACCTATGGGGTCGGTTAGAATATTAGCAGTTCGTATAAAAGCAGTCTTAAAGTTAACTTCATTTACTCAAGCAAGACTTGATAGTAAATTTTACGGTGCGTAAGATCTTTATAAGGACAAACTGGGGGGAAAGCTATCGTTCCCCTGATATAGAAAAAGTGATATTGCTTCTTGGATCATTTTCGATCAGGATTGATGACGGCTTTTCGCTCATCTCAGAATTTTCTTTTAATTTCACGTTAAAATGCTTCGCACATTATTCACACATGTAAAGTACAAGAAAATTACCTTCTAGTTATTTAATGCTTCCTTTGTATCATGAATGGTTTAATAGATATAAAGTTTTCAAATGTCTTTGTTTTTTTTTTCTGTTGCACAGTGTGTCAACAATTTATTTTGGACAGAGTGACGAATGTGAACCCAGTCCTCAGCGACCAAAACCCTGAACATCAAAGATTCCAGGCAAACGATCAAATAATCAGGGAAGAAACATTTGGCGAAAGAACACGGTTCATTGGAAACAAAAGATACACAAGTACATGGTGTTAAAGACCTAGTCATGTAAAACCTTGAAAAACTTCGCAAAAGATATGAGGCAACAGCTAAAGTGTTAGGCTGAATGACGCTAATGACATTAGTTTTATCCCTTCACAGCTTTTCTGACGAGACCACACTCACAAAATTTTGAATCTCATTCATGTAATCAGTTCTTGGAAAGTGGATGAATAAGAGAAATAAAGTTAAAAGTGGGCTGCTCACATAAGCTGTTCAAACCAACCAGTTGATAGTTTTTCATTCGGTTAAGTGCTGTTTGTAAAAAATTTCAGTGTTCAGTGAGGTTACTTGAATAAATGTAATTATGAGATTTTAGTATATTAGTACCCTGGTCCCAGAGGTTCTCTTCTCTCTACCGGAGAATGAGAATTCGGCGCGAAGCGCCGACCAACGAGCTGCTTAACAGCGAGCGGAGAGAACCTCTGGTCAGGACCGTTGAGAATCTCACTTTCATTCCACCAAGCTTCGGGTGACAGCCGTCAATCACGCCCCTTCCCGACAACCAATCAGAGGTATTTTACCCCCAGAGGTATTTTAGTACTTTAATCTGATTGGTTGTCGGAAAGGATCGTGATTGATGGCTGTCACCCGAAGCTTGGTGGAATGAAAGTGAGATTCTCAACGGTCCTGACCAGAGGTTCTCTCCGCTCGCTGCTTTCCAGCTCGTTGGTCGGCGCTTTGCGCCGAATTCTCGTACTCCGGTAGAGAAAAGAGAGCCTCTGGGACCAGGGTAGTATATTAGAAATTTAAGTTTTACTTTTGTAGGTATATTGCTTGTATACGACTGAGTGGAATTTACCGTGTATAAATAAAGTGATCTTTCTATCTATCTATCTATCTATCTATCTATCTATCTATCTATCTATCTATCTATCTATCTATCTATCTATCTAAATCAATGCAATGTCTGTTGAAACGGGCATCTCCCACCATATTTATCATGTGACCAGTCAAAGCGTAAGTCCATATTAACACTCCCATGCCAGCACGGCTGTTGAAATAAAAATTATTTCAAGTTTGTATTTTTGAGAGGCTTATGTAACTGAGGGCGCCTTTCCACTTGCCTCCTTAAGGTTTTTTTGATAACGAGAATCTATCATTCGTCGATAGCTTGTGAGCAGGTCCTCATTTTTAGCGCTTCGGCGAGACCGTTTCTTCGCCAGCGAAAAGACTCAGTGAGGCCTGGAGCAATGCGACTGCAAGGGGACTTGCCCCTAGACCCCAACAAACCTTTCGACTTGCTTCAAATCTGACCGCGGGCGATGAAACTCGTGTCCAGCAGTCCAGCAGTGAACCGTTACCTTTTCTGTGCGGTTTGAAAATGCAACTTTTAAAGGGCGACTGCAATAGAGATTGTTCTATAATCAAGCATGAGGCACGCAGTTATCTATAGGAAGATTATTCCTTTTCCAAAGTCATATAAAATCATCCAACTATCTCGTAACGGCCCATCAAATTAACATCTTAAAGGATATGATAACGACTGGACGAGGCCTGGGCTCTTGATATTCCGTGACTGTCTGTCATGTGGTATTACTCGAAAATATTGGGCGGATTCTTATTATCACGTGACACTCGAGGTTGCTAGTTTATAAAATTTAGCTTCGCTTGTAGATTTCAAATTGCGTTGTTTTGTTCCTTGTCAAGGTCATTTTCTCTCGGTTTAAAATGTCGAAAGGACCAGCAGTCGGAATTGATCTTGGTACCACCTATTCCTGTGTCGGAGTTTTTCAACATGGGAAAGTGGAAATTATCGCAAATGACCAAGGAAATCGAACAACACCAAGCTATGTAGCCTTTACTGACACGGAGCGTTTGATTGGAGACGCTGCGAAAAATCAAGTCGCAATGAATCCCACGAACACGGTTTTTGGTCAGTTTCAAAACATATTTATTCTTCCAAATCGAAGATTGATGGTTGAATGTATGTCCACGTTTCTTTGCAGATGCGAAGCGATTGATCGGTCGACGCTTTGACGATCCTTCAGCGCAGTCAGATATGAAACATTGGCCCTTCCAGGTTAAAAGATGTTGTCTTATATTGGAATTTTTGGAGTCGTGATTGAAGTGTTAGATATTAATTGAGCATTTTTGATGGAAAACGGATATGTTTACTCTACAATATGGATACCATTCTTTCTCAACTTTCGTTTTCAAGTTTCTTTTATCTAAGTGACCAAGTATCTTACTAAGTAACCTACTTTCGTTTTCTACTGTAGATAATTAACGACTCTGGGAGACCTAAGATACAAGTGGATTATAAAGGAGAAACGAAAACATTCTACGCAGAAGAGGTATTTGAGAGATTAATAAGTTTTCATCCAGGGAAATATTGTGTTCAGGAAGACGAACTTAAGCATTGAGTCGCGAGTCGTTATATCAATAGCCCCAGATATGCCTCCCAAATCATGGCTAAGCCATGCATATGATTGCAAAAATTCACCAAGATTTTGCAACTTTGTTAAGGTCTGTAACAATTTACCCACAATCAGATACTTCTAAAACCATGTGATTTTGGTCAGTCAAGCTTGAGAACATGGATTATTTGTTCACCTAAATTTTATTATGATTGAATACCCCCCCGACCTCCTTAAAAAAAACTAGTTTTCGGTAATAGTTGTTCCCTGTCATGCTAATTGTATACATTGACTAATTGGCCTGCAACACCAGGAGCTGAGTAATGTTTGGATTGTTACCTCCATACTTTTGGTTAGGATTTATGGGGAATTGGTATACTTTAAGGTACCCTCCTTGTATCAGTTGTCATTTTGTGTGATCATGTTGTTTACAGATTTCATCAATGGTGTTGACAAAGATGAAGGAAACAGCTCAGGCATATCTTGGGAAAACTATTACGGATGCTGTGGTGACTGTTCCAGCATATTTCAATGATTCTCAGCGCCAGGCTACAAAAGATGCAGGTTGATTTAAATGATACAAATTATGGGAGATTTTTCAAACCAGAGTGATTATTTAACCTTCTAAATCCTAGAAGTGATTAACTTGTAACTTCTCTCTGAAATATCCATACACTATCCAGCAAACAGGCAATGAGAATAGTCTAACTTATCAGGTAGAAGTTGACATCTTGATTTAATACCAAATTCTTGTGAATCAATTCACAAAACGTGTTGCAGCTTGTGGGGAGAATTCAAAATCAGATCTTAGCAGTTGAAATGTTAACCTGAATGACAAGTCCAAAAGATGCTTTTGTAGGCTATTTTCAAGTGGATTTGTGAAATAATAGAATATACAAAGTTATATGATATTATGTGCACACTTTAACGTGTGTTCAATGTCTTATCTGATTCGAGGTCTACTTTACTCATTGCTGCACAAGTAAACTTGTGAAATTTTAATTTGGAACAATGCCAAAGTTGATTTGGAAAATTATAATGAACTTAATTTTTGGGTTACTGTTCTTTCCAAGGTGTGATTGCTGGCTTAAATGTCTTGCGTATTATCAATGAACCAACTGCTGCTGCTATTGCATATGGTCTGGACAAGAAAGTTGGTTCTGAACGCAATGTCCTTATCTTTGATCTTGGTGGTGGTACATTTGATGTCTCTATTTTGAGCATTGAAGATGGAATATTTGAAGTCAAGTCTACTGCTGGAAACACTCACCTGGGTGGTGAAGACTTTGACAACAATGTTGTTGATTTTTTTGTGCAGGATTTCAAAAGAAAGTACAAGAAAGATCTGTCAACCAATAAACGTGCACTGCGTCGCCTGAGGACAGCTTGTGAACGTGCAAAGAGGACCCTCTCCTCCAGCACCCAAAGTAACCTCGAGATTGATTCCTTGTATGAGGGAATTGATTATTATACTACGCTCACTCGTGCTAAGTTTGAAGATTTGAACAAAGACCTATTTGAGAGAACCAAAGAACCTGTTGAGAAAGCTCTAAGAGATGCTGGATTGTCTAAGGGCCAGGTGCACGAGGTTGTTTTGGTTGGAGGATCAACTCGTATCCCAAAGATTCAGGAAATTCTGCAAAAGTTTTTTGAAGGCAAAGAACTCAACAAAAGCATCAATCCAGATGAAGCTGTAGCTTATGGTGCTGCTGTTCAAGCTGCAATTCTGAGTGGTGACAAGAGTAGTGAAGTTCAGGATTTGTTGCTTCTGGATGTGGCACCTTTGTCTCTTGGAATTGAGACTGCAGGTGGGGTCATGACAGTCCTTATCAAGCGCAACACAACCGTACCCACTAAGAAAACAGAATCCTTCACTACCTATTCAGATAATCAAACCAGTGTCCTAATTCAGGTAAGCAGTGTATACAGTACATGGAAGAAAATTGAACAAAAGTGTGATTCTGCTTTAAGAATTCAACTGTTGTCCTTGACCCTGTAAATCATAACATCAGTATCCATATTCTCCTTACTGTTCTTTATATCACCTCTGTCCTTTGGTACCTGACAAGGAGAATTTGTTAAACAATCAAAGCTTCTCAAGTTGGCAATCATCTCCTTTATTTTTCATGATCTAACAATTCAATATATCTTATTAACCAAGCGCGAGGGCCGCACTAGGAGAATATCGGCCCGAGGTCTTGACAGTACAGACCGAGCGCAGCGAGGTCTGTACAAAAAAGACTGAGGGTCGATATTCTTCCAGTACTGTCCTGAGCAAGCTTGGTTAATAAGAGATTTATTATACGACTGAAGTTCAAAGGGACACAAGTGCGGTATCATTCGGGACAGTGCCCGGTCCAATACTTAGAGGAATATTGACCAGCAATAGAGCATTTTGATTGGTTGATTTTAGTTATTGGCCCTCTGACTGCCCGAGTCGTGTAATAAGCAGTATTACTGTAAGGGCAAATTAGATGCTGGCTACTCCTAAGGTTTGAAGGATTACAGTAGTCTTCTCATTTCCTGAGATGGGATTAACTGAGGCTCTTCATTTTTATCTCTTTTTAGAGTGGCATAGTTCCTTTTTTCTTTTCTAACAAATCAAAAGAAACTAAATCGAGAAACAAATATATAAAAGAGCATAAAGAGCAGTTGTAGTAAGTTTAAGTTCCTGTTTCAAGTTCAAGGAATTTATCAACATCTCTTCTAAGAGAATGTCATTAGTAGAGTTGTCCCTAGTTTAGCTCATGATAATATACCATAGAAAAGAACTGAACAATAGAAAAGAACTAAACAGGGGCTGGTTCCCTTTCTGTTTGCAAAGGTGTTTGAAGGAGAGAGAGGCTTAACATCAGGCAACAATCTGCTTGGAAAGTTTGAGCTGTCAGGTATTCCACCAGCCCCACGAGGAGTTCCACAGATTGAAGTTACTTATGACATCGATGCAAATGGAATCTTGAATGTGTCTGCAGTTGATAAGAGCACTGGTCGTGAGAATAAGATTACCATTACCAATGACAAAGGTCGATTGTCCAAGGATGATATTGATCGCATGGTGCGAGAAGCTGAGAAGTACAAAGCAGAAGATGATTTGCAACGGGACAAAGTTCAGGCCAAGAATTCATTGGAGAGTTATGCATACCATATGAAGACCACAGTGGAAGATGAAAAGGTGTGAATTATAGTATGATTTTCATTTGAGCAAGAAATGAGGGAAGTTTGGCAACCATCATTTTACATTAAAATCAGGTGGTTGCCTTGGGTAACTGGTTCTGTTTCCAGGTGGAGCATGTTGTTTTAACAGGGTTGTCATATTTGATGTGTGGTGACACATGGTTCTTGAGATTCAGTTACGACTGGAGGCAAAAAGGTTGCCCATGACAACATTGTTATTTTACAGTCAAAAAACCTTGTCACCAAACTTTTTCTGGGCTTTACTAACTCAGCTGATAATCATAGTGTTACCTGGTTAAAATTAATGTGGTATACATCATTAGTCAAGTGTGTACTTATTTACTGAATGTAAATTGATCTCAAACACATTACTAGTCTTGTGTGATTTGAAAATTGACATACGAACAGACTTGATATACATATTCTCCATACTGTTTTTTATACATTTCCTAAGGTGCTGGCAAGAAGAATTTGTTAAAAAATCAAGAGCTTTTTTAGTTGATCATTTCATTTATTCTGGTGACCTTAATGAGACTCTTAGGGGAAAAAGGGTTCAAGTTCTTCAGGCTTTTAAACTGGGCAATATAGGAATGAAAACATTTTGACAGTTTTCTCCCCAATATACTGGACTAAATATCCTGACTGTTGATGCATATGTACTAAATAGTTGCTTTGTTAGGAACCAGTCACCATTTATTACCTGAAAAAGGGGGGGGGAGAGGGAAAGAGGGTTTTTGGGGGGATCACATGGTTTTCAGGGTGAAAGGGGGGTGTCAGTTGTTGCTAATTGAATATAGAATGGGAGTCTATAGTAAACCAACCCAATTCAGTGCCAGTAAGGGGTTATCATAAAATTATTTCAGAGCCTTATCAGGAGATCAGGTGTATTTTATTGAGGCAACCAAAACTCGCTGAATCTCCCCCCCCCCTAACCCCCCACCCTGGCGATATATAGTGACTGGTCACTTAGTGTCATTTTTATTAAAAGTATCAGTTCAAGTCTGAGAGTTTTCCTTTCAAAGTTATTAATAGATAATTATTTCTTCAGGTGCGTGATAAGATCTCTGAGGATGACAGGAAAACAATCGTTGACAAGTGCAATGAAGCAATCAGCTGGCTTGATAGCAACACTGATGCAAGCAAAGATGAATATGATAAGCGGCAAAAAGAATTAGAAAGTATTTGTAATCCAGTGATTACAAAGTTATACCAGGGGGCTGGAGGTGCCCCTCCTCCAGGGGCAGGGGGCTTTACTCAGGGGGGTGGGGCTCCTACCTCTGACTCAGCTAGTTCTGGTGGACCAACGATTGAAGAAGTTGACTGAAGAAAAGTTGCCTCAGTTCAGTGGAGTGAGATTTTCTCCTTGAACTTTTTCAGATTAGATTTGAATAATGAAGTGTTACCTGCCCATGTTGTCTGAAGTTTTACAAGACAAGCTCTTAGAGAATTGCATGAAAAAAAAGTGGAAAACCAATCCTTGGATACAAGATCAGCCCTGTCTCATTTGAACAGAGGTTTTGAAAATACCCATTATGATCTCAGGCGGACTAGTTAGGAATTGTTCCTTCTCTATTTTTTGAACAGGGATGACTTAAATTAATGAATTTGGCCAAGTTAAATTGTTATTTACTCTGGAGTTAGGATTGGAACAGTAGGGTGCTCTGTGCAGCAGGACCAATGTTGAGATGGTTTTCTTAAAGATATTTTCACAAGTTTGTATTGTGTACTTTGTTAAACTGAGGTAGAGGCTAGGAGTTTGTTTAGTGTGTTGGTAATTTTGTTTGAAGTACCTCAAGTGTTGTAACAAATATAAAAAAAGAAAAATAGAAATGATGAGCTTCACCAGATCATGACTTCTTTGTGTTGATGTTTGTTTGTCTTGTGCAAGGCCAGGGGGGGGGGTGGGATTATCTTGCTTTGGATTATTTTGCACACAGAAAGAGATTTTTGACCAACTGTGAAAATTTCTGTATTTAGGAGAGTCACAACCAATTTGCTTTGGTTAACATTGTCTTACCTCTGATTTTATCAATACATTAAATTTTAGCAAGGATAAACCCCTGGTCACCAAAGAGTTCATTACCTAAAAATCAGGATAAGGAGATTTTTTATCCCATAGAATGGACTCTTAAAGTTCATTTTCTCAGCTGTACCCCACACGTGCCGTTCCAGCAGTTTACCTGTTCCACCGTTCCAGCCTTTCCTGAATATTTAGATCCATTTCCCTGTCTTTCTTTACAAAGCTCTAGCTAAGACTACACCTGGGCTCGTTTTTAATCCGAAAGTCGACTTCCCTTTCTGCTGAGCTACCGTTAGTACGTTGTGGTGATTCACCGTTAGTACAACTCATAATCTGGTAGAAAGGTTTGATAGCAATGATTTCCGAAAAGTATGCGAGCCTTTTCATTGGTAATTACCGATTTGTTCGACCTTGCCTAACTGACCGTCGATTTGAAATTAAAGCGGTATCAGATAACGACCGAAATTACTACATGATTGCCAAACCACTGACTTATTTAAAGTTGTCGATTCCCGACGCAGTTTACTGTGTAACAATCTTTGAGATCGTCCATAAACCAAACAGTCGAACTGTTTTGAATCTGTAAACCATAACTTTCGATTATAGTGCCGTTTCTTATGTTTAACTTAAACAGGAAAATCCCAGTAAATTCAAATACACAAGGAATTGACACCAGTACCTTGGGTAAGCACCCATAGATATTGATTTCTCAGTTGTACCCCGTGCACGCGCCATTCCAGCAGTTCACCTGTTCCACCGTTCGAGCCTTTCCTGAATATTTAGGTACATTCCCAGTCTCCCTCTATTACAAAGCTTCAGCTGGGACTACACCAAGACTCGTTTTTAATGCGAAAGTCGACTTCTCTTTCTGCTGAGTTACCGTTAGTACATTGTGCTGATTCACCGTTAGTACAGCTCATAATTTGGTAGAAAGGTTTGATGGCAATGATTCCCGAAAAATATGCGTGCCTTTTCATTGGTAAGTATCAATTTGTTCGACCTTTCTTAATTGACCGTCGGTTTATATTTAAGCTTTTATCAGATAACGACCGAAACTACTACATAAGTGCCAAACTACTGACTTTCAAAGACTTCTTTAAATCCTTAAAGTTGTCGATTCCCGACTCAGTTTTCTGTTAAACAATCTTTGAGACGTCCTTAAACCAAACAGTCGAATTCCGATCCAAAGTTGCTATAATTTTCGGAGTAAGCCTGATAATTTTCGATTATAGAGCCATTACTGTCACTGGTAACTTTAACGTGAGTTTGTGCTTTTTTGTATGAAAGCTTGAGTGAATTCATTTTTGTGGAAGAGGAGTGAATGTGCTACTAGCAGATAGGCCGAACAATACACGCGCACAAAAACGGAAATTTGGAAATCATATTCAACTCGATGTGTTATATTTCCCATGCAATATTTCCGCTTGTGTGGAAATTGTCGAATTTGACGTAAAAACCTTCACTTTAGCAAATTTTTCGTTTCTGATGTTTGGCTGAAAATGAAAATCCCAATAAATTCAACTACACAGCACCTTGGGCAAGCAACCATAGATTTTGAGTCCTGAAAATTTACTTTGTTGTCAGGGTGTTCAAAATGTAAGCAAAGACTTCCCAAGTAAATAATAATAAGACATCTACGTCTTGTTTGAGATAAATACTCTCAGTCAAGCATCACCCATCATCAAGTCCCACATCATTTTAAAACCGTAAAGCGCATTTTCAAAAGCGTCTTGTGAGTACACTGGAGCAGTCCGAATAATACACACTCTGATTTAAATGAGCACCTTTGATTTGTAATCTTTGAAAGTGAGTTTTAGCAAGTTGTTAGATACAACAGTTTCTCCGAAGTCCATGAAAAGAGGCCTGCATCTGAGGGTGAAAAGATTGTTTAGTACCACCCAAAAGTAAATGCTGCATCTGAATGTTGAACAGAAGATGAATTTTGTCAGGTGTCATTTCAGCAAGGATACTGTATTTGTGCATTCAAGAGCTATTTTCAGAGGCATGTGGGAGTAATTATTAGTGCCAAGCCTGCATAACCAGCTGCCTCATCTAAGACTCCCTCAAAATTGGGACAAGGAGATTTTCATTCCATACATTTGATTTTTTTAGATTTTGTCTCAAGGGATTCTGACTGATAGTGCAGTTGTACCTGACATACCTGCAGTTTTTTTTGTTCCAGCAGTTCAGCTGTTTCCCCATTCCAGCCTCTTCTAGGTTTACTTGATCCAATCACACTCATTTACAAAGCATTAGTTGTTACCCTAAAACTGAGACTGGAAATATGAGTGAAAAAATGAGATGGTACATTTTTGTCTGAAATAGCCCTGAAGTCTTTTGCTTGGACAAAGGGGCTTTTATGTTATAAACAATATATTTATTATGTCTGTGGCAATGTTGAATAATAGTTTTTGGATGTCATCATATTTTCTCTATTTTTTTTTTTTTTTCAGATGCAACATGGAAAGACATCATAGCTGCCTTCAGCTTTTCAACAGTCAACAACAGCTCTCAGGAGAGAAACCTTCTTCAAGGAAAACTTGAAAAACTGTTTGGTGGCTCAGACCAATGGCTTGCATGTCTTTCAATTCGAACTGCTTTAGATACATTCTTAACTGTTATGAATTTCCCCATTGGATCAGAAGTAATTTTTACTGCATTAAATATTCCAGACATGGTATCAGTGGTTGAAAGGCATGGCCTTAAGATTGTACCAGTGGATTTAGATCTCGATACACTAGCCCCCAAACCTGAACTAGTTGAACTTGCTGTAACAGATAAAACAGTGGCCATTTTGGCAGCTCACTTGTATGGGAAGTGGATCAATTTGGACAAAGTGTTTCAAGTGGCACATTCACGCGGATTGTATGTATTGGAAGATTGTGCTGAATCATTTCAAGGCCTGGAAAAAAAAGGTCACAAACTTTCTGACCTGACATTTTTCAGTTTTGGTTCTATCAAACATTACACCTCATTAGGTGGGGCCATGGTCAGAGTAAAAAACTCAGAGATTCTTTCAAAAATGAGAGCCAAGCTAAAGGAATACCCAGTCCAAAACCAGTGGACCTACTTCAAGAAACTTTCTTGCTACTCTCTGTTAATGGCAAGTGGATTAAACAATTCACTGTTCAATTGGTTCTTCATTAATTTGTTTCATCTGATGGGTTTCAAGTACAAGGAATATTTCATTTCCCTCCTGCGAGCATTTCCTGGTGGTGTAAGCATGGATAAACTTCGTAGTCAACCATCTGCCATGCTTTTGGAATTCATGTTATACCGGCTAAGAAGAGTAAACAGTAAAGACTTCCGAATGATCAAGTTAAAAGGAGATTTTGTGAGCAGTAATCTGCCTGGTAATGTTTTTGTACCTGGCCAAAGAGCAGACATAAAAAGTTATTGGTTGTTTCCAATGCTTGTGGTGAGTATGAAATTTTATAACATGTGCAACCCCTTCTTTCTACCTTTCTCACTTGAATTCAACCCTTTCTGCCTAACATCAGTAAGCATATTCTCCATACTGTTCTCATAAATTTCTTTAGGCGCTGAAGAGATGAATGTGTCTAACAGTCAGAGCTTCTTTAGTTGGTGATCATTTCTTTTATTCTCCTGAACTAAATGTGTGATTCAGAAGTGATAATGAAAGGAGAATTTAGATGCTGGTCACTCTTAGGAGTCCAAGGGTTCACATGCTTAGGAACGGGGCAGAGGAGAGCAAGCATTTCAATTAAGTTTGGAAATTTTAGTCATCTTAGCAGAAGCATCATTTTCTGTTATTTGAAAGGAAAGGAAAACAAAGTTGACCATCAGCTTTAACAGGAGAGATTGCTTTTAATTAAAAAAAATAGTGACCACATGTGAATAACTGGCCCTGAACACATAATTTATTGCAAAATATGCACTAGTCCTCATTTGATTTTTTTTTTTTTACTTAAAGGATGACCCCGATGAAGTTGTTACTGCACTTGAAAAGGAAGGCGTTGAGGCATACAGAGGCGCAACACAACTTTCCACCGTTTACAGAACAAAACCCACTGAAGCAGACCAAAAAGACAGGGCTAAGTTCAGACAGGAAAATCAAACGGAAAAACTTCTTTATTCTTTCTCAACAGCTCAACCAGAGGTCGCAGCTGGTTCTGGTTCATCCATAGGAAATGCTGTCAGCAGACCATCTGTAGAATTTTTCTGCACAGCACCAGTCAACACTGCAACCACAAACCGCACCTTCAGCAAGGAAAAAGATGATGTGCTCTTTCCCCACAATGCCAAATACCTGATTGATCATGTGGTGTACCTGCCTGTGCACAAAAGAGTTTCCTTTCAACACCTTGAGCATATCTGTAATTCTGTAGAGAAAGTTATGAAGAACCGAATAGGGGTCAAAATTGCCAATACCAGTGATGTATTATTCAAGTCCAAATTGTAAATTTCAATATCATCAGGCTGTCAAACAAGTGCCCCTCTGGATGAAGCACATCCTCCTCCCCCCTCCCCTCCCCCTCCCTTACATGAGTTGGTATTTGTTTCATGCTATTTATTGAGTTTTTATGCAGAGAATTAGACTCAAATATGAATCCAAATTTAGCTTTTCATTGGTCATGGCATAAATTGATGATTGAGAAGTAAATTTTAAGGTAAGTAGTAACAACAAAATTGTTATTAATATAAATGAATAAATAAGTTGTTTTTTCCAAAGTTTCTATAAATACTTGTCTTTATAAAAAATAAGATTTTCAGAAGGAATAAGCAAGGTCATTTTCTTATGTTGAAGTGTATTTACATCAGAGAGGAGGAAGAAAAATTTTTTTTTATAATGAATCTCATTAAGAGTAATCTAAAATAATAATAAAAAAGGAATCACTGTGAAGCCCCCGAGTCAGTAGTTCTTAATGCTGTTTGTTGTGATCTCTTTTTTTCTTGAGTGTCACTTGTCTTCAAAGTGTAAATAAGACTTTTGTTTTAATTTAATCATCAAAAACTTCATATCTTACTTTTGAAACTTAAGTAGCATCCTTTGTGCTCTTCAAAATTGAATTTCCTTCTATCTCACTAACATGTAACACTTCTCCAGTAACACTGACAAAATGCCAGGCAGTAATTTTGGAAGTTAGTGCCCCCCTGCTGTAGTCACTTTGCTGAAGGTGAGAGATGTAATCTTCAACCAATCATAGGGGAAGATTCTCTATAATCACCTGAGCAATTATATTAAATATTGTATCACTACTTCCTGAACAAATTTTGGTCATTTTGTGTAACCACAAGTTACGCAATCATCACCAAAGCAATTTCCAAGAATGAACAGCAGCTTAAAAAATGCTGGGAAGAGCAGGGGGGGCAAAAAGGGTTACAGTCCAGGTAACACAAAAAATTCAAGTTATAACGTACAACACTTATTTTACATTTATTCAAAAAGATATAAGGGAGAGGAAATAATCCTTGCATTCAGACTTGGGAGTGCCATATGTACACTTGTTATTTATAAAAAAAAAAAAGTAAAACACTCTGAAGACCAAATTATAAATACAGCCTTGTTTAAATTGTACATCAAACTTGTCTATAGACACTCGAGGACATGTTTGCATCTGCCGGATATAAATTACTTATTTTACAGTCTTCCTGTGCAATAACAGTGTCTCCTAGCTGTTATCTTGTAGATTTGTTTGTCCTGTTTGGTGGTAGAGCTATCATTCTGCTTCGCAGTGTCAAGTTAACTTCTCCACAGTTTGCTTCTGTTAGTAAGTTCAAAATGGAATTTTCAAGAACAGATTCCACCAGTGACTCAAACTCTGGCAACCTAAAACACAAAGGGTGGTTATCTGGTGTTCAGTAAAGGTTTTCTTCCACTCAGATAGGTCTGTTATCCTTTAAGGGCATAAGGGCAGATCTAGGAAATGGGTGCAGAGTATATGCACACCCCCTCCTCCCCCTGAGATAAACTGCAGCTTTCTAATGTGGTTAGTATTCAGTAAAGAAATGTGTTTATTTTACCTGTCCGTTATGTCATTTCTGAGTGATACACCCCCTTGTAAAAAAAATTCTGGATCCCCTACAAATATTACCAGTAGCCTTGGGGAACTTTGAGGGAGAAACTGTTTGTGTAATGGAACAATTGTCAAAATGAGAGTGATTGTAATTTTCTTGCTGCTAAAATAGGTAAAGGTAAAGACTGTTTACAAGCCTAGTGGCCCATTAGCCCAGTGCTCAACTCCGCTTTCTTGCTGCTAATATAAACCAACACAAACTACTCACTCTGAGAAAAACAACAAAGGTTACTGCTGTCAAATTGTTGTTAACATCCATGAGACCTTATTATGAGAAAAAAATTAGTTTTGTTCTAAAGAGAACTGAGCTCTTAGGTATGGTTTTATCAAAATTTGCATTTAATGAGGGCAGACATTGTCAGATTGTGAATGAACACAAGAAGGACACAGTAATGACAAACCTTCGCACTGCCTGTCTCTGAACAGTGCTATTTTCATGATCTCCCTCAGCATCCATCAATCTATCAGCAATGGATAGTGGTGACTCTGAAGTGCGTTGTATGATCTGATGAGTTCTACTCATTACTCCCTCCTCTACATTTTGATCTACAAAAGCCTGTCAAATTACAAAAATATAACAGCAGTCAGTAAAATTGGTCTACATGTATGTCACCTTCATTGGTAGATTCATTGAGCAGTGGTCAGTAGTCAGTGCGCAGAGTCCAGTGGTCAGTGCGCTGGACTCCGGGTCGGTTGGCCTAGGTTCAAGTCCTGGCTGGGGCATGACATTGTGTCCTTAAGCAAGACGCTTCACTCACATTGCTTCGTCTTCTTGGATAAGACATAAAGCCGTAGCTCCCGTCTCCTGCAGGGTTAGGGGTAGGAGACGTAAATTTCCCACGCACGAGATTACTGTGTAGTGGATGTCCTCCCCGGGGTGGCATGGGTGGGAAGGTGAGATCGCTACATGGACTGAAGCGGCTGCCAGAGGCGCCTGATAAAAAATGCTGACGTCCGATCTCAACCTTACGATACTGTTAAGTGTGACTAAATATATCCACATAGAAGTCTGCGCTATATAAATGTAAAATGTAAATGTAAATTGATTGAAAGCAACTGTTTATTAGCACCAAAATAAACTGAAAGTGTGTCCTTCTTTCCAGCTGAAATGAATTTCATTGTTACCTGTTTGTTAAGAGGGATTTGTTCCACATCTTCAAACCCACCACCCACATGAGATTGGTCAGAACTTTGACTACTAGCAGAGGAGGGCCTGGAGCTGGTGGTGTATTGGGTTTCACAAAGCTGTCTAAAGTAGGGCACAGGCTCCTGGTTAATCTCACTCATCCTCTGATGGAAATTGTCATCATCAAGGAGACCCCTGGATAAACACACACACACACACACACACACACACACAAAAAGCAGCTTTAATACATGCTCTTTTAAAGACTTACATTATTGTAATTAAATATACAGTACTTCACCATTATAAGAACCCTTCACTCTGATAAAAAATTAAGATATAAAAATGCTGTTAATGTCGTTATTAAAGAAGCCCTGATTGAAAACATAGCTCATCTTAGATTTTCTCCTAATGTATGTTATATTCATATTTGAAGTGAATATTGTTGAATAATCCCAACCCATCTTTTGTGCTCTTTGTCACTGAATTTTCTTCAACCTCCTTAATCACATCTGTGGAAACATTGACAAAATGCAAGGCAGCCATTTTGAAATTTAGCCCTCCTTCCATAGTCACTGCATGCAAGGTGATTATAAAAAGATATGATGCAATCCTTGACCAATCAGAGTGCACCCATCTCTATAATCATCTGAGCAGTCATATTAAACTGAATCGATATAGGAGCACTTTTGTCCAGTAGAAATAAGAAGCTTCCCTTTGCGTGGCTTAACCCCCTAACTCTCAAGATCTGATTGTTAATTGTCCCCATTAACTGAGACACATTTCTTTGTGAATTAGCTACAAAAATCCCGTGTAAGATCAAGATATCACCTTCTACCTAATAAGTTTGAGTACTCTCATTACCCATTTCATAGATAGTTTATGGATATCATAGGGAGAAGTTACATGTTTATCACTTCTGGGAGTTAATCAAAAGCAAAAAATTAGGGTAAAAAGGGAGCATTTACCTGAATATAACAGAAAGTACATCCTGGATAATCCTCATCTCATGTCTGGAGCAGGAAACTAAAGCAGACAGCTCTTCTCTCTCTTGGTCACCAGTCCCTTGTGATAATACATAACGTCTGCAAAGATTCCAGTCATTTGGATGAGATCAACATTTCATGTACTTAGAGACCATGCAATCTACAACCTCGACATCTCACTTGATTTTCCATTTCCATTTCCTTACCACATCCACCACTCCTGTATTCTCTCTCATTACTCTCATTCATCACTGTATTTCTCTCCCTCTATCACCATCTTTGGTGATCACCCATCCTTCCTCACACTGCCTCTCATATACATGTCTGTGTCTGCTGCCTTTTTCTAGTTAGTGTAACACACATACATTTACTTACTGGTCTATCATAAATTTGTTAATTGCTGATGGGAAGTTGCTGTAATACTCTCCAATTGCATGAGTCCTTGCAGTGATTCCCAAATGGAGCAGAAAAGATTCTGGAGGTACAGGTTGGGGGGGTGTTTCTAGGCGACCAGAGCTTCTATTTTTTTTTCTTTTTGTTTCTTTGGGTGAGCCAATTGGTGGCAAAGCCTGATATTTTCTCAAATCACCCTCAGAATGGGACACAGAGGGGTGAGGGTGGCTAATGGATTTAAGGTGTGGTCCAGAATGAGGTCTCTTCATGTCATCCTCAGTTATTGTGAAAGTATACTGTTTCTCCTCCTTCATGTTTGTCCAGTCAATCAGGAGCTGATTGTACTCTGCCATCTCAGTTTCATCGACAATCTAAAAATTCCAAAGACCTCTTAGTTGTCCTGGACTGATATGATACTAACCTCAATTGTCAGTTGCATAAAGCCGAATAGATAAACCAAAGGGAAAAAGTGACAAACCTCGCATATTATGTCCATATCATAAAGCGACGGTGCTCCCCAGGAGAATAAAGAGACCTGCAAGGAGATAACACAAAATGCTAAGCCTTGGTTCTTTTGAGAACAAGACACAAAATAATACCAAAGAGACCATACAATAAAATGTAATTCAGTGCAGAAATAAAAAGACTTGATTTAATGAGGCCTACCTTTAGCAAGACATTCTGCTGTGGTTTGAGGAAGCCATGATCAGGTTCAATCATTATCACCTAAAATAAAATTCATAACAAGTTGAGACCAAATGCAACTGAACCAGAAACAAATTCAACCTTGATCACCTATACCTACAGTCAAAGTCATCGTAGGTTGAGTAATTTTTGGTTGGGTATTGAAAGTAGTCTGAGATAACATTAGTTTTGCTTTACTTCACCCTGTGATTCCTTAAAAACACATGTGCCACCATCTCAACCAATCAGATACAAAACTAAAACCAGTCATGACTAAATTGCCCACATTTTCCCCTAGCTAGGCCCACTTATAACAGTTTGATGATATTTCATTTGAGTTCTCATTGGCTCTAAAGGTATTTTCCTTTCTCCTGATTGGCTGCTACAATTACTTTGGTGTGGTAATTCATGACACTTGAAAAAGATGCTTTAAAAAATCCAATTTTCATTCATTAAAAAGTATCATTTTTCAATGCAAATAAGCGTAAATGAACAAAGAATTGAACAGGTTAAAGAAAGGCCTTCCTTTCATGTAGTCATTAATGAACATCTAACTTGGAAACTGTATATTTCTCAAGGAGCTTGTAAAATCTTGAAATTAACAGGAGTCATTCATAGAGCAAGATTTTTTTCTACCTAAACCATGTCCAAAAACTCTTTACTATTGTTTAGTTTATCCTTATCTTCATTATTGTGTCATTGTCTGGGGATCTACATACAAAACGAATCTTTCCCGTCTTGTCTCTTTAAAAAAGCAAGTTATCAGAATTAATTCTAAATCAACTTTCGATTCTCATTCAGACTCTATCTTCAAAGAATTTCAGTTACTGAAACTTTTTGATATTAGACAACTAGAATTGGGTAAACTTTATGTTTTCTTTTAACCATTCTCTCTTGCCTCCAAAGTCCAACAATTATTTTTCTTTAAACAAATAAGTCCATAGCTATGCCACTAGATATGCCATCGCTTTTCACCTTCCCTTTTGTAGAACCTTTGAAAATTTTCTGTCAGTTTCCAAGGCCCTACTTATTATAAATCTCTAGAAAATGATATTAAAAAATCTAATTCTCTCCATTCATTCAAAACGAAACTGAAAAAAACATTTTATGTGAATTATTAGCTTAAAAATTCTTATAATAGTAATTACTTTTCTTTCTTCACAGAATTATTTGATATCATCTTTAAACACATTGTTACACACTTTATCATACTTAGCCATACTTTATATTTTGGTAACTCAGTCTATGTAATTAAATTTTGTTAACCTACCGTATATTTGCCTTCATTGTATTTTACCTTCAATCCTAGCCTTACTGTTACTGTTAACTTTTTTTTTTCTTTTACTCTGTGGCAGCCAAATATCTATAAGCCCCATGGTTTCTCTTTGGGCTTCCTTGCCACTTCTATTTTTTTTGTGTGTGTGTGACTGTCTTGTTTTTATCATTATTTGCATTTTATGGTGAAAAACATTATTTGTATTTTGTGGTAAATAAATAAATAAATAAAAATAATTACTTTAAAATTAATTTTTTCAATACCTGTTCTAAAGCTGATCCCTCCAATACCCATCTGAAGGATATGATATGGTCCTGTGATGTGTTTGTTAGAAAAAACATGCGACGAGACATGGTGTAAAGAGGAACATCACCAAATGGAATGCACTCTACTGACAAATAGGCCAGCTGAAATAGCACAAGCCAAAGTCATTAAATATGGTAATACACTTCAATTACTGCATAAAATGTTTATACTTTCATTTTTACCACTATTAACTCTAGATTCTTCTTAACTCTGAAAAGCTACAATCAGAGTGAATCAGCAGACACTTCTAGCCAATCAGAGAGCCAGCATTTCAAGAAGTAATGATGGACTTGAAACCTGTTATGGTTTAAGGCTTAAGGCATATAGTACTGGTTATGGCTTTGTAGACAAGAATTAACAGAGGATGGCCCGTAACTTGGTGTTTGAAGCAGCAGCTCCTTAGCCGAGGTGATACCAACCTGGTTAGGCACCTGGACAACCTGCTTGTCAGGGACTGTGTTATTGGCAACATCCCTTATAGGAAGAGTGTTTCCCATGATACGTTGGTCATATCCCACTCCGGTGAATGTTACCAAAACTGTCTCGCCACCAATAATATGCACTGGTATGTCGACCTAAAGGTTAATAGACATATCATTTAGTAGGTTTGCATGTTAAGCGATGAGCCAGAGAATCTAAGATATCATGAACTTAGCCTACAAGCAGGCCTTCAATATTTCAGCTTTGTTAGGAGTGTTTCTTTGAAAATACAACACCTTGGGCAATGCAAGTAAGCAAGAGGTCAGCAATGGTCTAGCACTGATAATTAGTACCAGACCCCCAAACAAACTTCTCCTCAACTCCAGCGACTTGTCTCAAATCTTCCTGCAGGTGGAGAAATGCCCATTCTGCAGGGTTAATGAGAGTAAATCAGAGGCTTCCATGAACTCAACTCACCATGTATGTCCTGGCCTCTAATGGAGCAAACTGCCAGTAAATCAGAGCAGCACACCCTGGGGGAATCTCCCCTGAAGGATTCAGACACTCAAATATGTGGCAGCCATAGTTTTGCTTCACAACCAAACAAAACATTAAGTCATTAGAAGAAGTTCTCTCAATATCTCAAGATAAAATTACACTAATAAACCCAGTTGAACTGAATGCAAACATTTAGACTTACAGCCTGAACTTGTACAAGAGGCTCCATATCAAGCTCATACTTTACAACTCTGGATCCTCCATTGTACAGTTCATATACTTGTACTGGTGGTGATGTCCCTCCAACAGGGACTGGCTCAAAAAGGTGCCTTGTACTGGCAAAGTGAACGTAGTAGCTGTCGGGGTCCACAGTCACACCAATGAAGTTCAGCTGGGCAGGTAAACAAATCAGCAAAGTTACCAGAGGAAATTTATGTTACAAGTACACTGTGACAAATTAAATGAGTTTTTTTGTTTCAGAATTAGACACTTTCAGTGAAACAAACTAAGTTACGTTCATTGTACATAGATTTATGGACATTAATGTCAGTTACACAGTCAACTCTTCTTGACTTGAGGTGAGCTTCTATTGGAATCTACACAGTCAAGGACAATGTTCATTTTATAATAATAATACAACATACCAGGATTTCTCTTCCTCTCCTCACTTTAAACAAGACAGGAAGCTTGTTGATGCCAATGAATGAGTGGCTGCAAGTGTGATGGAATGAAACCAGTAAATTGATAATCAGATTAAAGGTGCATCAACCAGGTACACATACACATACATAATTACGTTACTTAACCACTCCCCATAGGGGCTTTTCAGGGCCAATTCCCACCCGTCCCACCCCAGGGAAGGACCTCCACCACACAGTAATCTCGTGCGTGGGAAATTAACGTCTCCTACCCCTAACCCTGCAGGAGACGGGGCCTACGGTTTATTCGTCCTTATCCGAGAAGACTAGAATATCTATCCACTTTTTGATTATAGAAAGGTAGCAAATTCTCCTCACTTATTTTATGACCATGAGTATCGGTCTGCTGCCTGGCTGATGGACCCAAGGCTGTTTTATTTCATGATGAGCAAAACAAATAAATGGAAGAAGTTTCCAACATGAACAGTTATGCCAACTGTTATGTGTTACACATAATATTACCTGTATGTAAGAGTAACAGTGCGACATTCTCCAGCCAACAGCTTTCCTGTTCTTGGTTCAATGCTGAACAGTTTATTATCCATGACCTGCATCTAAAGGAGTATACAAGCACATGCATTGTTCTTCTAAACAAATGTTTAACATACTTTAAATTCCAGAATGAAGTATGTAAAATTCATGACCAGATTCCCAGTTATTTTTGTCCTTTTACCTGGTGTAGTTCATCTTCATCATACTCTCCTGTTTCTGCCCAATATTCTAACTCAAGCTGAAGATCACTTGGATACAAGAATGCCCTGCAAAAAAAAAAAAAATCTCTGTCATCAGGTCTTGAAGATTCAATACAACTTAAATATAATTGAACTGATTTGATTTGAGGGATTTACTGACATGATCAGCTATAAAATATGTTAAGCTATGAAGTTCAACATAAGCTGTCTTCTAACAGTTTAAGCTGACTAATCACATTACAGGAACTGGACTTAGTACATCTGACTGATATCAACTCTTCTTTTGAATCTAATGTTGACTTCTGCTCAAGTTGTAGAGACATCAGTCACTGTGTACTCCCCAAAAAAAGTACCTCTCAGGATTATACACTCACTCGCACATCAGACTACATGATCACTCAGAATTATCAGGAATTATATTTACCATTCAGCAGGAACTGTGCCTGTATTTTGTATGTTTAGATGTACCACACATGGATCCCCATACAAAGGTGCAGCTCCAAAGTTGAAGTCCATTATCGCTCGTGTATTGACAGGGACTCTGCGCCTGGTACTGTGTAAATTTGGATCACATTATTTTAACATTCATCAGCACAATCAATGATCAATTGAATTATCACTGCCAGTCTGAGGTGTAACATACCTGTGCCTTGTGACTGCAGCATAAAGGAGTTCTGATGGAGACGGATCTGCTTCCAAACATTCATTGAGACTGCAAAATAAAAACAGAAAATATATCCAATTTTTCTGTACGTTGCAGTCTTTCTACCTGTATAAAGTTTTTTTTAATTGTAACCTTGCTTCCAGCCACTACAAAATGTAATGTGAATTGATGAAATAGTGCACATGATTAGTGCCAGTACAGGCATAATTAAGATAAGTTTGGCATGTCTATCTCTCAAACAAGCAATGTAACCTCTCTTTTTTATTGTATTTTTTGCAACAGACATTGGTAGTGACATTAAGACATTAAGGAAACAATAAAAAAATTTGTTTGCTAACTTTTTTTCCGAGGAATCACCTTAAATAAAAACAGAAGGTTTTTCATTTTTAATTCTTCCCTGTCAATCACTAAACTGGATACTTAAAGAAAACTTTCCACTGACCAACTACTCTGCCTCCCTGGTGAATTTAAGCCCCACAGGATCTTATAGATCCTCAAGATTGTCAAAGACCTGGCAAAATTTAAATTCCTACAATACTTGAGGATCTTCATGGGACCCTTATATGGGATCTTTAAAAGATCTGTGAAGATCTTTTACCAGTGAAGAGACAATGAACACTTCCTAGGATTCTTGAGGAAGTGATAAATATCCTTCAGAGATCTTACCTAGATCCTCAAAAAGATTTTTTAAAGTTCTTTAAAAAGAGCCTTCAAGATCTTCAAAGATTTATTGACAATCTTATGTACAATGGTCTTTAAAAGGATTTTATTAAGATCTTTGGCAGGATCCTTAAGGATCCTCAATCTTTAAGGATCTTTAAAGATCAATAAAAGATTTTACCAGGAAAATCATCAATGACCATACAAGTCTACCTGTCAAGTGATAAGAGATCCCATATCTGCACTTTGCTGTACGCTTTGCCACTCCCCAAACAACGCACGTCAGTCACACAGAGAGTAGGATACACTCCCTGACACTGCAGTTCAGCAAGTTGTCTTTTGGGGCAGGTCATAAGAGGTTTTCTACCTTCTGCAGGAGAAAAATCACCATATGAGTTGGACATGTCCACTGTATAGTTACATAACTGTAAAAATTGTTCTCACCTAAAACGAGTTTACAACAAACCAAGACACTTTGCAGTTTTAAAAGTCTACAGTACATGATAACTATCTAAGATTTCCTGAAAAAGATGGATCATTGTAGAAAAATATTTCACATGGATTGAATGTGCCAAAAACTCCCATGGAGCCATTGGGTCTCAATGTTCATGGATTATGCTTTTGAGGTGTCAATGTTACCACTGTTTGTAATCAAGTGTATAATATAAAGGATTAAAACAAAGGAAATGTAAGGGCAGGTTCTAATAATTTATGTAATGTTTGCCACTATGTAAACAACAAGTTTTTGTTATTAAGTGAAAAAAAAATCTAAGTATATCTAAACATACCACAAGTTGAGAGAAGTTCATAAGAGAGTTTGAACTTGTAGGAAACACGGCGTGAAGGATAAGCAGTTGCTGTTATTTTCTGGGAAGTTCTTGCTGAAATAATCCCATTTTGATCACTTATTTCCAGTGCTGCAAGAGAT